TTGTGAATCAGCTGGGGTGTTTTCACTGATAAACAACACATAGCAGGTGTGCATTCATTACAAATATATGTATCTGCCAAGGTGGAGCCACTTTAAAGAGTGAGTTTTGTCTTGTATCTAAAGTGGATACAAGCGTATGTTTAAACTGCAAGATTTTTACTTGCTAGAGAATCTGTTTTAATATAGTGGTTTGGCCTCTGATTATTTATAGGTTTTATAAATTTTAGAATCAATTTCTCTTTAAGGTGGCTCAGATTTTTCAACTCTTGTGCACATAAAATTGAGTTGAAATTCATTGTGCCTTTTTTTCTTTACCCAAATTTGAGTTAAAGCTTCATATGGTAACTGCATCCTGTTCAGACACTGTTGTCTAAATTTTGAAACTCTATGGTATTCACTAAAAGTAGGAATAGCAAAGTCAAAGTGAATTAAGGTCACAAACTTCGGTGAAACCCTTAAAGTCCAAATCTTCTTGATATTGTGAAGTGTTCCCCTTGCAGTTTAGTTTCTTCTGAACTCTCCATACTAACTGACAGTTACCTTTTAAATTTTGCACACATCGAGATTGAAATCGGGCCTCTACTTTGATGATTCCTATTTCCTCGTGTTTTAAGTGCAAACTAACCTTTAAGTAACATTAGCATCAAGCAGTGCAGACACACGTGCATTTGCTGATTCAGTTTGCTGTGACCTTACCAGTCTGGAATTGGAATTGCACCATTCGTAGATAAAGAAGACTAAGTATATTGCTGCACTTTTAAGTTTTCAAAACAGTGTTTTAAAATCGCATTGTTTTTATTTTTTTTTAAACTCAGTTAAAAAAAAAAAGACTAAAATGTTCTTTCAAAAGAGGCATCTAAACGTGTTCCTAATTTTGTATATGGGCTTAGGTTTTGTAACCAATAAAAAAAGCTGCTATCAAATACGATAAAACATTGGAAGGCTTATTTCTGAAAATAATTGCTTAGCTGTGTTTTCTGTATGGTTAAGTTTAAATTTGGAATGATTTTCAAATGTTGGCCACAGTGATGGTGAAGCATGAATGACAGTCATTGCACACTGATCACTCCTTCCCACTGCAACAAACAAGGATGACCAACCAGTAGCCACACTAGAGAGTATTTTGTGACAAACCACAAGTGCTAACGTCTGTATCAATTTCCTAAACTGCTGTAACAAAGAACCACCGAACCAGGTGACGTCATACAATAGAAATTACTGTGGTGCAATTCTGGAGTCTGGGAGGCCGAAATTGAGGTGCTGGCTGGGCCAGGCTCTCCTCCTCTCTGCCTGGGAAGGATTCTTCCCAGCTTCTGGTGGTGGCAGGCAGTCCTTGGTGTTCTGCAGGTTCATCACTGCATTCTCTGCCTCTGCTGATTCATGGCCCCATCCATATGTATCTCAGATTGAAAACACTAATTTAGAACGAGACCATGTATTTGAGAACATGGTGTGATTATGACTTTCCCAAAACAAACCAGTCAAACTTTAAAGTCTGCCTAACTTCTCAAAATAGGACATATCAGTAGTAGTAAACCTGAAAGTTTTACTTGATAGAAGTATGACTCTAAATGAAATCTTCCATTAATTAGAACAAAGTAACAGCCAAACTTTTGTGTATATTTTACTTTTGTATAATGCCACTTCACATTACTTTTAAAAGCAGTCAGTGCATAAGTGAATAAATGGTGGCACTCATCTTGCCATCATCTTCTCCAAGGCCATCCTTTCAGGGTAATTGCTGTGGGTAAACCAAAAGCACCTTGCCTTTGGACAGCAGGGGTTTTCGGTGATGGTTAGTTGTTTTAACCCTAGCTTTTGACCCTTGGTTAGTTTTCGAACTCTGGAGAATTAACTCTGGGGAAAAGGAGTGTAAATTCTTAAAAAGCTGACCCCAAACAGTGCTCATTGACCTACCACTCATTTGAAGCTTTAAAGGGACTCTTCATATGGCTGGAGAGATGGCTCTGAGGTTAAGAGCACTGACAGTTCTTGCAGAGCATCCGAAATCAGCTTCCAGCACCCACCCACACGTTGGCTAACCATATGTAACTCCAGTTCTTGAGGATCCAACACCCTCTTCTGGCTTCTGTAGGCACTACACACGTGATATGTCTATTTACAATGCTGGCGAAACAGTCATACACTGGCCTAAATCAACTCCTGTAGAAAACTGCTGAACAGAGGCATCTTAGATAGTGACTTTGTGTTGTGTGAACAGTGGTATGCTTTTCTAGTGATTTTTAGCAACTTTAGTTGAAGCTCTTTTAACTTCTTTAAGAAGAGCTAGTGTTGAACCCCCCCCATCACAGCATAGTTTAAAATTCACTTCTTGAGGTCCCCTCAAAAGACTTAAAGTTTATTAAGTAATTCAAAGGAAGAGAACAGGACTAGAGATGGCTCAAGTTAAGAGCATACACTGCTCTTCAGAGGACCTGAGTTCAATGCCCAGCAACTACATTGGACAGCTCACAACCACAGGTAACTCCAGCTCCTGGGGAATTCAATGCCTCTGGCTTCCATGCATATATGTGCACATGTGCACATACCCACATACAAACATTTAAAAATAAAAAAAAACAGCGGAGAGCTTGCCTAGCATGCACCAGGGTCTGAGTTCAAACTCCAGAACCACTAAAAATAATCAAAACATGAGTATCATGACTAAGAAATGCTGTTCATCATTGTCTTCTGGAAGTTCCCAAGGTAGAGGGAGGTGGGTCTGAATTTGGGGCCAGCCTGGTCTACATAGCAAGTTCCAGGACAGGCAGGGCTAGATGAGAAACCTTGTCTCAAAAAACAACAGAACTGGGGCTGGAGAGGTGGCTCAGTAGTTAAGAGCACTGGCTGCTCTTGTGGAAGACTGGGTTCAGTTCTCAGCACCCACATGACAGCTAACAGCCATTTGTAACTCCAATTCCTGGGGATTTGACGCCCTCTTCTGACCTCCATGGGCACTGCACAACACGGCTGCACTTACATATATGCAGGCAATACACTCACTCATACACATTAAAAAAACGAAAACAAAACCCAAAACCTCGGAGTTTCTTCTGTAGTGTCCCCTTACCATAAAGATGGCCATCTACTGAGTAATTCTCTTTCTTAGTGATGGGACCTTGTGCTATGTAATATGAAAAACTAAGATAAACAAGGGCTGCCTTCATGGACTAGCAATCTTACCAGATGGTAAGTAGAATGGTTTTATGGAGGAGTATTACAGAATATACATTTACATGATGGTTTAAAGATAAAATCAGCTTTTTGAGGCAGGCCATTTTTATGGAGTGAGAAGGGTTAGGTGAATGAGTCCCTTACTCCAAGGAGCATTATCTGCTTTGTTGGCTATTGCTGCTATAGTTCTCCCTTATTCCTGAACAAAGCCCCTTAAATGCCCATCATTGCAAGTTTCTGTGATTGGACTAGGATTTCCCCCCCCAGGTAGAGATTTTTCTGTTTATAATAAGAGCCCTTCCTCAGCCAGTGCACCCCAGGCAGTGCCCACCCCGACCCCCGCTGATTGGTTCCTGTCAGTTTAAGCAGTCCACCCAACAGTGAAGAGTGGTATGACTAGTTTCTGGGTTGGTGGAATGACAGCATTCCTTTCCTCTGGACACTCCTAGCGTGGGGGAGTTTATTTTCCAGTTTTATCATAGTCTTGAAATCAACAGCCTCAACTTTCTTTCGCCCATTACGTTAACATCTGCCTATTTGAAATCTCAATACCATACTGTCTCAGCCTAGTTTTTCTCATAATATATTAAATGTATCTATGTATATTTTCAATATCTCCAGTCTTTTATGAATAGGAATTTTAAAATAGCCTTTAGAAACATTCAGATATTTATTGAGCATCTTTCCCCATTCCAGGTATAGTGCTAGGGCACAGGATAGATAAAACAGCAAAATTACAGGAATAGGCCTAGTCAGAAAGGTGATGAGGCTGGTGAACTCTTCCTAAGGGCCAGCCACAGTTGGGGTGCTTTACGGATACCTATGCGTCCTCTCCACCATGAAGAATGTTCTGTTAGGTTACATCTTCTCCAAACTCCCAAGACTATTGTGGTACATAAGCAAGAGTTAATTGGGCAGGTGGACTGCAAAAGCTTTCTGGTGTGGAAAGAGTATGTATAAAGGCCTTGTGGAAGTTAGGGGAAGCAAAGATTGCAATCAAAGACTATAATGGAGAGGATTAATAGGGGCAGGGAGAGGCAAACTGAATAGTTAGGGGCAGACTCCACAGCCTGATAAGTCTTCTCTAGCAATAGAAAATTACTACACAAGGGTAATAGAAGATTTATGTTTAACAAGGACCTCTAGTTGGTAAGGTAAGGACAGGAACTGTCCTTTGGGTTAAGTTACCTAAGATTAATGGTCACATTAGTGAGGGTGAGACACTGAGGCAAAAGGTGGTGAACAGCTTGGTCCATGAAGTGCATAGATCAAAAGGTGCTTGGTGGCTACACAGACCTGAGTTGGCAATGCCTGAGATGTTGAGTCTGGGTGGAGGGAAGTATGGAGGATGATTCTTAATTTCTAGATTACAGCAGCAGAGGGAATGGAATTAACGTGAGACACGGAAAAATCATACCTGCAAGGGGTTGAACTAAGTTGAAACATCCATAGGATTGTTAGCAGCCATTGGAAATACTACTCTGGAGTTCTGAGGGGAGGACGGGCTAGAGGTTTTACTACTTTGCCTATTTGGAGGGTCATCAAAACATAGGAAAGTGTGATGTTTGGAGTGAGAGCAGGGGTTAAGACTTGTAGCATTCCAGCATTCATTGGGCATGGCATGGAAAATGAGCTTGCAGAACAAGCAAAAGGAATGGCTAGAGGCATAGAGACAAAACCCTGTGAGTTTTCCTGAGAATCAATGGGGAAAAGATGTCATCATCTACTGGTGCTGCTAAGCAGCCAAGCAAAATAGGGACAAGGGTTACGTGTTCATTGGGTTTAGTGAGAAGGAGGTTCTTGTCCTGTGGGAACTGCCATCAGTGTGATATGGCAGAAACTAGAGAGGACTGGAGAGCAGGGGCAGAATATGAAGACAGGTAATCTAAGCTTTTTAAAATTTGTGTGTGTGTGTGTGTGTGTGTGTGTGTGTGTGTGTATGTGTGCACAGTGCTTAAGTGCAGGTGCCTGCATCTGCCAGAAGAGGGCGTTGGGTCCCCTGCAGTGGGAGTTACAGGTTGCTGTGAGCCACCCATGTGGGTGTTGGGAACTAAACTTGGGTCTTCTGGAAGAGCAGAAAGCACTCTTAACTGCTGAACCCTCTCCTGCCTCATAATCTGAGTTTTTCACTAGTTTCTTTTTTGCTCTTTAGTAAAGGACAAGTTACTAAGAGTTTTCTTGTTGCTGTGACTAAAAATATCCTGACAAAAGCAACTTGAGGGAAAAAGAGTTTATTTTGGCTCAGAGTTGAAGGGTACAGTCCACCATGGCAGGGATGTCATGATAGTGGGAGCTTGAGGTAGCTGGTCATGTCACTGCTGCAGTCAGCAGAGTGACTAAAGGTAGCTTGCTTTCTCCTTTTTATTCAGTCCAGGACCCTGCTCCATGATACAATGTCACCTACAGTTAAGGCATGTCTGCCCATAGCCTAATCTAGATGACCCCCTACAGGCATGCCCAGAGGCTTGTCTCCTAGGTGATTCTAGATCCTGTTAAGCAGACAGTATTAACCATCACAAGGAAAGTGTGAGAAAATTTGGGGGAACCGTGGTTGTGGTTGAAAAATAACATTGACCATTCTAAGTGTAATGATAAGTTTTTTGTTATGAGAGTGGCTGGCTGGATTGGCTGTGATCCCTCAGTCAGCAGTGATTTCATTGGAGAGCTGGTATATACCAAATCCTGTAATAGGTGCCAGATATACCATGGCCAGTCACAGCCCCTGGCCTTGTGGAAAGTATATTCTAGTGGCAAGAGAGTAAGAGTAAGGGATAAAGATAATTTTTTCAGATGTTACCTGCTACAAATAAAATAGTATAGGAAGTGACATGGGGAAGGTTTTAAACTTGTACTAGCAGTCTTTTTTTAATTGTAGGAATGCACATAACAAAATTCACCCTCTTAGCCAACAATTTTTGCAAGCCTGCTGCTCAGTAGAGCTGATTATACTCACCCAGCTGTGAAGCCAACCTCTAGAAATTAACCACTGGTGCAAAGTCAGAATTATCTCCATTAAACAACTCCCCTGCCTCATAACCTTTAGTAAGTACCATTCTACTACATGTTGCTAACGAATCTGTTTTTTTCACCACCACTATTGGGGATTGAGCCCAGGAATCTGGCGTGTGCTAGGCAAGTGCTCTATTACTGAGCTACAATCCCAGAAGAGCTATGTCGGACATCTCACATAAGTGGAGCCATGCAGCGTTTGACTTGTGACCTCACAGGGTTGTAAACTTATGTAAAGGAACGTGGTGGGAGCACGCAGCCCTATGCTGGGCAACTCATCTGCCATATACGTCTGCTAGCTTTCCGAATTTTTAAATAGTATCAGTCAGCTGGATAATGGTTGAAAACTTTTCTTGCACCTTTCTAGCAAGAGTTGGCAAGAACCCTTTTATCCCAAAATTAACCCCAGTTATTAGCAAAATTCCCACTTTTTGGACTTCCCTTTATGGCTTAGCTTTTTGACCCTTGTTAGAAATCAGACTTTATCAAATCCTTTGGGACTGGTCTGGGCAGATGTTTTCTGGAGGCAGACTAAGCAGGTTGTAGAGCATGATTCAAGTCCCAGAAACCTTCAAGGCGGAAACGGGCAGGAGCTAGGGGCTGCAAAGCCTAGCCAGTAGGTGATCCCGCCCTCAGTTCCGCCTCCGCCCCAGAAGGCCCCGCCCCTCCCCGGAGGGCCCGCCCCTAGGCCATTCGCCAGGGCGCTTTCCCTTTGCAGCCAGCCTCATGGACGCGCGCTGGGAGTTGGTCCGGGCCTCTGTGGCCCCGCTGCTGCTAAGCTCGACGCTACTGGCCGCGGGATGCATGCTGGGCCTACGTCTGGGCCGCGGGAGGGGACCGGTGGACCGTGCGGTGCTCGCCTGGCTCTGCTCTGACGCCCTGGTGCACTTTGTGCTGGTAAGTATCGCCGCCTGCCTGGGGCAGCTGCTTTCCTTGGAGGGAGGGTGAGATCCTGGAGGCTTTGATGCACTTGGCCTTTGGCCAGAGGCTGCATCGAGTTCGGATTCCCAAATCTTAACAGCACATTGCTTCCCAGGTGCTGGGTCTATTAAATGTAAACCCTCTGAGACTTGCTAAATGAATTTCTTTTTTTCTTTTTCTTTTTTGGAAGTAGGGTCTCATTAGCCCAGATGGCCTTGAGCTCGCCAGATAGTATAGGATAACCTCAATTTTTTATCCTCTTGTGTCCACCTCCTGAGTGCTGCTTGGTGTATGCAGCGTTGGGGATAGAACCAAGGAGCATGCATGCTAGGCAAGCACTCTATCAGCTGAGCCGCATCTGCACCAGGACAGGCAAGAAAAACCCTGTGCCTCTATGGTAATTACCATTTATTGGGTCTATCTGTATGTCATTCACAGAACTGTGTTTAAAATTTCTGACCTTTACCTGGAGATGTAGCTTAGTGGTAGCATGTTTGCCTAGCACTTGAGAGGCTCTGGATTCAAACCCCAGAACAGGGGGAGTGAGAAAAGGGGTTTTTACAACATTCCTTCCACTAGTTGGTGTCAACACTCACTCTCCAGTGCTGCTCATGATCCTGACTTAAACTGATTCCCACCCTTGCTGTATCAGTTGTTACATGTCTTGTTGCTGACAAAACATCTGACCAGAGGAATCTAAAGAAGACAGGGAGGGATGGATGAAGGAAGGGAGGAAGAGAGGGAGAAGTTTAGGAGAGAAGGAAGGAAGGAAAGAAGAGAAGAAGGGAGGGAGTGAAGGAAAGAAGGAAGGGTGGGGGTTATTTTGGTTCACAGTTTTAGGGAATACTGTTCTTGGTTAGGTTTATTCCAGGGTGAGTGTGTGTGCTATTATAAATAGGATTGTTTCCCTGATTTATTTTTTTTTTAAGATTTTATTTTAATTTTATGTGTATGAGTGTTTTGCCTGCATGTATGTATGTGCACCATGTGCATGACAGTACCCATGGAAGCCAGAAGGGGACGTCAGACCCCCTGGAGCTGGAGTTAAGGCTAGGTGTTAGCTGCTATGTGGGTGCTGGGAACAGAACCTGGGTCCTCTGCAAGAATATTCAGTGTTCTTCTTAACCACTAAGCCATCTCTTCATCCCTAAGGAAATGATGAAAAACATTTTTGTGGTCAGTTTTCATTTGTTTATTTGTTTAGTGGGGAGACGGAGGTCAGAGGACTGCTTGTGGAGTCAGTTATTCCACTGTGTGGATTCTGGAGATCTGACCCAGGTTGTCAGGCTTCGTGGCAAGAGCCTTTATCCACTGAATCATCTTGCTGGTCCTTCACTCCACTTTATAAATAGCCAGTAGAGCTGTATATAGGGCATTCAACTAAAATTCCCCCACCCTCAGTTTTTAAAAAACTAACCCTAAATACTTACTTTTTTAAAAATGTTTTTTTTATTAAATTTTTTTTTAACTCAACAAATATAAACATGACAGAGGGCACTGTCATTGCTCTGCTTTCTCCTACAATAGAGTATTTCCATGTACTAATTCCAGGTCAGAAGTCAAGTTTCACAGCTCCATTTGAACTGATGAGTACTAGTAGAGGGAGAGTTGGCTTTCTTCAAGGGAGTGACACTAGATAAGTTGACCAGGCACCAGTAGATGAACTCCATTGAGAGACATTTGGGGGACACAAATGTAGCTCAACAAGCCTTAACATATATGACAGAATACATAAAATATGATGGAGGAGGGGGAGGTTATCAGGGAGTTATGGACTGTTCTTAGTTGCCAGTAGGTATTTGGAACCGAACCCAGGTCCTCTAAGAGCACCCAGCAGTCTTAACCACTGAGTCATCTCTCCAGCCCCCAATACTTACTTTTTTGTAAAATTTGAACTACCTTAAATCTGAACAAATCTTTAGCTAATGTAAAGTGTAAGTTCATAATAATGCTAAAAAGAAAACATTGGTAATTAAGTCTATGAGTGTTTGACAGTTAAATATGTGTCAATAATGGCTGCTTCTACAATGATGAAATTCCTTTTTTCTTAATAATGTGTGTAGATGAGTGGCCAAGGTTATTTCTCTCAGCTCATTAGTTTATAGAATTGATTTTTTTTTTTTTTTTGAGATGGGCTCTATTGTGTAGGTCTGGCTGGCTGGCCTAGAACTCGCTATGTAGACAAGACTGACTTGTAACTCAAAGGGATCTGCCTGCCTCTGCCTCCCAGTGCTGGAATTAAAGGTATGTGCCACCACACCTGGCAGAATTGATTTTTTTCTAAAGAACTTAAAAAGAATTGGGGGGGTTGTTTGTTTTTATTTTATGTATATGAGTATTTTGCCTGCATTCATTGTAAGTGTACCATGTGCATGCAGTGCTCATGGAGGCCAGAAGAAAGTGTTGGAACCCTTGGAACTGGAGTTGCAGATGGTTGTTAGCTGCCATGTGGGTGCTGGGACTCCAACCCAGATTCTCTACAAGTGTAGCTAGTGATCTGAATTGATTGTTAAGCCATCACTTGAGTACATGATCTCCCAAAGAACAAGGAGCGGTTCAAGCAGGTTGGTAGAGCCAGTGATGATGGTGCACACCCAGCCCTTAGGAGGTGGAAGCAGAAAGATGGGAAGTTCAAAGTCCTCCCTCCTGTGTTACCTGGGCTTCGTGAATCACTGTCTGGAAAAACAAAAAAGCAACAGGTCCAACTTAAAGGAAAGTGTATTCCTATAACATTTTAAGCATATAAAACAGGTGTAAGAACACATAAAATAAATATTTGTGTGCCCACTACCCAGTTTAAGTTGACTTTTCAAGCACAGATACAGGTAGCATGGCACCTTGACATGTGGAATTGTTGTTCTGCCTTCCCTGCTCCCTGCTCTGAAGGAAAAGTCCTACACACAGTTCCTTAATGATCATTTGCCTGTCCCGCTGTGACCGATTGCACTGTGATGTGCCATGCTTTAGTTCTGAGACAAAGGTTACCCTTTTTTTCCATCTATCACCTTGATCACTGACATAACCCCGTTAGTCACTTGGTTGATGTGCTGGTTAGTTTTTGTCAACTTGACATAAACTAGAGTTACCTGGGAAGAGGGAACCTCAATTGAGGAATTTCTAGCATCAAATTGACCTGTAGGCATGTTTGTGGGGCATTTTCTTGATTGCTAACTGATGTGGGAGGGCCCAGCTCACTTTTGGCAGTGCCATCCCTGAATGGGCCTGGGCTGTTTAAGGTAGTGGAGCAAGTCAGCAAGCAGTGTTTCTCCATGGTCTCAATTCAGCTCCTGCCTCCAGATTCCTGCCTTGATTTCCCTCAACTATGGATTGTAATTTGTAAGCTGGAATAAACCCTTTCCTCCAAGTTGCTTTTGATCCGTGTTTACCCCAACAGCAGAAACCAAACTAGAACAGTTGATACTTTAATCTCTCTGAAATAAAGATGTGTCTTACAAAATTTTATAAGCCCACACATTTTCATTTTGCTGTTACTAACAGTGCTTTTGCCAGTGTCTTTGGACACCAATGTCAGATCAGAGGAGAGGGTGCTTGAATTAGCAGTGATGTCTGTGAGGAAAGTACATGCCTGTATTAGCCTTGGTTAGCAGTTTGCTGCAAGGATACCGAGAAATGTGGGATGAGCTAATGCTGGAAAGAGCAGAAAACCCAGCCCACTCACTCCCTGGCACCTGAGCTGCTCTTTTTACCTCTAAACCTCCCAAGTTGGCTGACGGCACCAAACTCAGAGCTTACCTGATGAACAGAGGTTCAAGCCCTGCATTCCCAGGGGCAGTTTGGCTCATGTCCAACCAGAGTGTGATGATTAGTCTTGATTACCAACTTGATTGGATTGAGATTAGCACAGCACACCTCTGGGTGTCTGTGAGGGCATTTCTAGAGAGGATGAACTAGGAAAGACCTGCCCTGAATATGGGTGGTACCATCCCAAAGTCTGGGAGCCAGTGGAAAAGGAAGACAAAGGAGGTTCGGTGTGACTAAGCCACATTAGAGTTACACCTGAATAAAGAATCAGCCGGACTCAGCATTAAGGCCAAGAGTGGACCCCAACTCTGAGAGTTTGTTCCTTCAGATCTCTCAAGGAACTGTGATCTGGAGCCAGGCTTCACCCATACTTTTATTCAGTTTCTCCAGAATGAACTGGGGAACTACAAACTTGAATGTACCCTTATCTTATTGAGAATCTTACCCTTTGATCCCTAGGTCTAGAATATCTTGTACACACAATGTCAAGCATTCATCTCAATTCTCACTGTTTCCAATGAGGATATAAATATGAATATGCAGCTTTCAGTGCTGTGATATGCTAAACAAGCACATCCACATTCATTCACTATCTTGGGTGGAGAGTGATAGATGAAGTAGGCGATGGATGAATTGGGTTGATGGATGAATCGGTTGATCAGGAGAAAGCACCAGGACACAGATAAAACTCTAGTGGAATAGAGTTTATTAGCAAAGGAACACATGGGACAGATTCCCTTCTGGGTAGGGAAATGTCTGCCCCCGGGTCGTGAGCTGGGGGTCTTTTGTAGGGGAAGGCTTCTGGGAGGTGCAGAAGGCAAGTGGGAAGATATATTTTTTAAAGATTAGGCAGGGGAAGCTGGAGAGCAGGACTGTGGGACTCTTAAAACCTGCCCCCTTTAGAGATCAAAGGGGAAGCCTGCCATGCTGACCAAACTGGAGAAAAGTCTGCTTTTGACTTCAAAGACCAAGGTGCTTTTCTCAGGGGCTTGCGGAGCCATGAGGCCCTCTTGGTGAAGGGGCAGGGCTGCTGTGTATCTGAATCCTAACAGAGGGCAAAGTGGGCTCCTGAAGGATCAAGGTCAGGTGGCCAGGTCACAAGAGCACATGACTCTTAGAGCTTGTTTACATTATAAACAGTAACTTTTTATAGCAAGGTTAAGTAAAAGTCATTAGTCCAGATTCTGCCCATATTGTAAGTCATTCCTGCAGGA